CTGTCTCAGGGCCCAGCAGAGCCGGGCTGGTGTGTATGGGGTGTGCTGCAGAAGAAGGCATGCGCGGGCTGAGCAAAGGCGTCTGGGCTGCTCCCTTTCCCCAGGTGAAGCTTTTGTATGCAGGGGCCAGTAGGCCCAGGCCCGCCTGCCAGCTGCCCCCCAGAGCCCGGGGCCTGCTGCCTGGAGAGCAGGAGTGGAGCGGCTGAGCTCTGCCCTCTTGGGGGCGCCGAGCACCCCCGTCACTGCGCTCTGGTCTCTCGTCCCCCAGGGAATGGTTCTTCCTCTTGTCCCACGAGGTGCTCAACCCCATGTACTGCCTGTTCGAATACGCCGGGAAGAACAACTACTGCCTGCAGATCAACCCCGCCTCCTCCATCAACCCCGACCACCTCACCTACTTCCGCTTCATCGGCCGCTTCATCGCCATGGTGAGCGCCCCGGCGCCGGGCGGAGAAAGGGGCCAGTCAGTGAGGAGAGCAGGCCTGGCCCCACGCATGGCAAGCCATGTGGGGAGGAGGGGCTGGGATTGGCCACTTAAACCCGAAAACGTTCCAAGCCTTGGCCCCGGAGGGGGAGCTGCCTGCCCAGCTCCTTGGAGGGCCAGCAGCAAGCAGGCTGGCCCGGGTTGGGTGTGCAGGAGCAGCTGGGGCCCAGCCTCGACTTGGACGGGGGGGAGGGCATAGATGGCACCAAAGGTGGCTCCATCCCAGAGGCCAGGACTCAGAGGGGAGGAGCCGTGTGCTTGGCCGGACTGTGGGCTCCACCAGATCCGCAGCCTCAGGAACAGCTTGGGGGTCAGGGTGCACTGTGAGTGGGGCGGGGGCGTGGGGCTCTGGGGTCTGTGTCTGGGGTGGAGGTGAGCAGGATGTCTCTGTAGGGCTGTGTATTGTGGGGCGAGAGTAGGGCCTATGTATCAGAGGAGGCACATTGGGCTGGCCGGAGGGGGGTTCTATCGGAGGAGGTTCGGGGGGGTGTTCAGGTAGCGGGGAGGTCTGTGTATTGGAGGTGGTTCAGGAGGGAGGTGGCTGGAGGGGGGAGGGGGTCTGTGTATTGGAGGAGGTGGCTAGAGGAGTTCAGTGGGTGGCCGGGGGGGAGGTCTGTGTATCGGAGGAAGCACATTGGGGTGGCCAGAGGGGGTAGACCTGTGTATCGGAGGAGGTTCGGGGGGGGGTGTCTGCGTATCGGAGGCGGTTCCTGGGGCCTCGCCCAGCTGTACTGCGGGGATGTGCCCAGCTCCTTGGCTGCCGCCCCAGTGTCCCAGAGGATCTGCAGCTTTGGGGGCTATTTTTAGCCCCAACAATGTGAGATTTTCCAGCTGCCCAAACGCCAGCCTGGCGGGGGCTGGGTCTCAGAGTCCCCTGGCTCTGGGATCAGCCCCTCCATGGTGCCATGCTCAGGAAGCTGGTACGTTCTTCCCAGGTCTCCCCCAGCCGCCCGGCCCTGCTCGGAGCAGAGCCGGATCCCCATAAACTCTCCGACTATTAATCACCGCTGGGCTGCTCCAGACAAGCGTCTGCATTGTTTTTGGCTGCCTTTGCCTTGAGGCTTCTGGAAGCCAGGATCCAGGGCGGCCACAGCAGGGCTGTTTAAACAAGTGCTCTTAATAGAGCTGCAAACGGAGAGGGAGACGCCATGGAATTGGGGGTGGGAGGGAAGTTGGGTGCTCTGCACTCCTGGCGCTGCGGGCAGGACTCCAGGGCTGGGCTGTGTCATCATGAGGGGCCACGTTCTCCTAGTTGGAGCCTCTGGGACCTGTCCCCCTTGCTGGCTGTGCTCCGTTGTCCCAGGAGGCTCAGGGTCCCGCTTGGCTCACTGGCTAGCCTCAGGGTCCCCCGGCAGGCGGCTCCCCCAGCCACCTGGCGGGAGTGGAAGGGGAGCAGTGTCGGCTGCTTTAGTCGCTACGTTCCGCCGGCCCCGCTGCCGCTTTTGGCAGTGCCCGTGGCCATGCTGGGACCCAGAGCCCGTGACCGGGGTGTTCTCTCCCGCACAGGCGCTGTATCATGGAAAATTCATTGACACTGGCTTCACGCTCCCCTTCTACAAACGCATGCTTAACAAGAGACCCACGCTGAAGGACCTGGAATCCATCGACCCTGAGTTCTACAACTCCATCGTCTGGATCAAGTCAGTGCCTCTCCCCTGTCAGCCCAGGGTCCCTGCTTCTCTAGGGGCAATGGGGCGAAGTCCCCAGACAGGATGGTCTCTGGCCACACTCCAGGGCTCAGTGTGCTTAGGATCCTGCCTCGGGCCTGGTGTATCAGACCCACCAACGCCTGCACATGAGCCTGTGAAATGTCCCAGCAGCTGCAGAAAAGCCAGCCGTACCAAGGCATGCAGCTTGGTCACATGACCCCAGGGTACCCGTAGGGAGTGCTGCCGCCCCCATCCTGCCAGATCTCGCCTTGCTGGGTGCAGCCAGGCTAATGTTCCTTGTGTCGCTTCTCCCCCAGGGAGAACAGCCTGGAGGAGTGTGGCCTGGAGCTGTACTTCATCCAGGACATGGAGATTCTGGGCAAGGTGACAACACACGAGCTGAAGGAAGGAGGGGAGAGTATCCGGGTGACGGAGGAGAATAAGGAAGAGTATATCATGTGAGTACCAGTGCCTGGGCTCTCCCCCCACCTTGGCATGGAGTGTGGGGCTCGGGGGCATGGGGCTGCTCCCGGGGCTACTTGGCTTTGACGTGGGCAGCGGACAGGAGGAGATGGGCTGGGTGGCCCTGCCCCAGCCCTGAGCGCTCAGTCGGGATCTGGCTCTGGGGGTGGGGCGGGGTTGCCAGCACTTTGAGAGGAGAGGTAGAGCATTGGGGGAGGTTCTTATTTCCCTCTGCCCCAGGCCCTGCGGCTGCAGCCGCTCAGCTGCGTGCCCACCACAGCTTGGAGTGCTGCTGGTTCCGTGCTGAGTTGGGCCCAGGCAGCAGCAAAATCCCCCAAACCTGGTTCGAGTTGGTGCATCCCTGTGGCCAGGCGTCGCCAGCGCACCCACGACAGCAGGTCTCTGTTCCCAAAGTGCCCTCTGCCGGCAGGCCTCAGAGAGCCACCGCTCTGGGCTTTGGGAGGCAGGAACACCACACAAGAAAGGATCGGGAGGAACCTTGAGAATTTGCCCGGCTCCTCTCCCCTGCACTTGCCCTGCTGCTGGCCGGGAACATCAGAGGTTCAGACAGCAGGGCTGGCGGGATCCTGCAGGGCTCTGGGGGTTGGTTGCGGGTACCATGTCTGAGAGCTTGGCTGGGGTGCGCCCCGGGTTGCATGTCTGCCCTTGCAGGCTGCTGACGGACTGGAGGTTCACGCGGGGCGTGGAGGAGCAGACCAAGGCCTTCCTGGATGGCTTCAATGAGGTGGCGCCGCTGGAGTGGCTGCGGTACTTCGATGAGAAGGAGCTAGAGGTGAGTCAGCGAACTGCTGGGTCTCCGCGCCCCTGGCTGGGCGAGTCCCGAGCATTGGTGCTCGCTGTCCCACAGCAGAGAGGTCCTAGCATCAGCTGGGGCAGGAGGGGCTGCCGGCTAATGGCCAAGAACCCGCCCCAGTCTGGCTCAGGGCCTAGTGAAAATACAGTTTGTATTTTACTCTGCTTCTGAAATGCTGCCCTGGCAGGGGGGCATTATCCGGACACAAGCTCTCGTGCCGCCTGCTGGAAGTTGTCAGGCCTGTAGAGCAGGTGACCTACTGCCGGGCTGGCCCCTACCGAGCTGGAGACTTCCTGCCGAGCCCCTGACTTCTCCAGTGCCTGGGTCGCGGGCGGAAATGGAACCCCGCTGCCTAGTCTGACCCTGGAGGAACTAGTGCATGTGCCACTCCAGCCGTTCTCCCGCTTAGAGTGCAGGTGGGGGAGAGTCTGTGGTTGGCTGCTGACTTGTCCCCTGGTTCCCTAGCTGATGCTCTGCGGCATGCAGGAGATGGACATGAGCGACTGGCAGAAGAACACCATCTACCGGCACTACACCAAGAACAGCAAGCAGATCCAGTGGTTCTGGCAGGTGAGCCTGAAAGGCACCTGGGAGCCATCCTGAAGGGAGTGGGGTTGGGAGGCAGGATCAGCCTGGCTCCACTGCTCACCAGCCTCCAGGCAGAATGAGATGAAACCGAGCACATCTCCAGCACGAGGGCTTTGGTCGTAGCTGGCAGCGGCTCCGGAGTTGCTCAGGGCAGCAGGCAGCACTTAGTGGTCAGCCTGTTTCCAGCAATAGCTGCTGCTCTGGGGGAGGCAGGATGGGAGACGGTGACAAAAGAGGCTGGAAATAAAGCAGCCCCAATTCAGGTGCCTCTTCTCCTCAGTGAGCAGTCAGGACAGAAGGGGAGCAAACTGGTCCTCAGCCAGGGCAGTGCGGGGTAAAGCCCGTGTCCGGGAGACTCAGGGTCGAGCGTGGAATCATCTCTCCTGAGGATTCTCAGGCTGGGCGCTACTCCCATCCTGCACCCCTGTGGATCGTAGATTAGATCCTGCAGCCTCAGCGTCTGGGGGACGCTCTGTGTTTTGTGGTTTGGTTTCCTGTTGGAGCTGGACAGGAGCCACTGAGGCAGGAGTGAGAGAGGCTGCCCCCCCGCCCCCCAATCCCAAGCCCCATTGCTGAAGCTAGGAGCACACAGGTGATGGCAGAATCCCTGTCTCATTGCATCTACTCTGTTGGTTGCAGGTGATTAAGGAGATGGACAATGAGAAGAGGATCCGGCTTTTACAGTTCGTTACAGGGACCTGCCGCCTACCAGTTGGAGGATTCGCAGAGCTCATTGGTATTTATTTCCCAGCTGCCCCAGGGTGCACAGGAAGGGGGCGGGGGGATAAAGGGGAGAGAGACTCACGATAGGCCAGTGGTGTGGAAGGGCGGGGTGCAGAGGTGGGCAATGTTATGACTGTTATACTCGCCTTTCCGCGGTACAGCTCAGAGCATTTACAAAGGCAGGGAAGTAAGCTAAGGCACAGAGAAGGGACAGAATTCCCCCCAGCTCTCACATTTTTAACCAAATGTTGTACTGTACTAAGCCAAATGCCTTACAGCAGTCGGATATCTGTCAACACAGTTATCTTTGTCAACCAAACCTGTAATCTCATCAAACAATGGGATCAGTATTGTTTGACAAAACCTAATTTCCATAAAACCAGCTGTTTGGCATTAATTATGCTACCATCATTTAATTCTTTACTGATTGCATCTTGTATCAGCCTTTCCATTATTTTCATGGAATTGATGTAAACCTAGTCAGCATATAGTTACCCAGGTTATCCTGTTTCCCTTATTAAATACTGTCCCATTAGCTTTTTTCCCAGTCCCCTGGAATTTCCCCAGTGTTCCAAAATTTGTTAAATATCAACATCAGTGGCTCAGAGAGTTCCTCGGCCAGTTGTTTTTAAAACTCTTGAATTGAAGTTATCCGATCCTGCATGTTTAAAAATGTTTAACTTTAGCCGTTGCTATTTAACATCCTCCGTTGTTACTGTTGGAATAGAAAGTATTCCATTATTACTATAAGCTGTGAATATTCCATGGAGCTGTGAATATTCCTTAAACCTACTGGGCATAGATTTTTTTCACTGATACCTTTAGCCTCCCTTATCAATAGTCTGCATTTCATCACTGTTCATTTATAGTCATTACTATCAACTTTCTTCTTTTTCCATTCGTTATATATTATTTTTAGTTCTGTTTTTACTTTTCTTATTAATCAGGGTATTTTTTAACTGAAGAAGCATTCCTTTGTAATTGTGAAATTGTGTTTTGTTGGGTATTTAGTTTAGTTTTCCTAGACAACTCCCAATTACCCTTCATGTTTTGTTTAAATTGTTTACATTTTTCTTCCTAATCATTTTTACTCATAATGATTTTCAACTTTCAGTCCAAAGTATATGTATTACTGGTCAGGACTATATACTGTTTGCTCATAACAAATGTGATCCATCATGATCAGTTTCACCTAGGCAACCACAATTTTTATTCAGTGATCAGTTCATCTTCAGATATCAAAATGAGGTCTTATATGGAATTACCCTGAGCTGGCTGCAATATTTCTTGTTAGAAAATTGTCTATAATTTTTAGAAACTCCAGGGACATTTCCATCATGACAGCAGACCTCCAGCATATGTCCCTCAGACGGAAATCCCCCATGATAAGTTTTTCTTCCTGCACGTTATATGTAGCTGTTTAAAGAGCTGTTAGTCCTGCTCTCTAGTCTGGTTTGGTGATCTCTAACGGACTGCCACCAGTAGCCCAGGTTTGGCATCACATGCCAGATGAATGGTCTGTCTAGTCCAGCATCCTGTCAGTGGCCAGTACCAGCTGCTTCAGAGGAAGGTAGAAGAAACCCCTTAGTGGCCATTTATGCACTAACATACCTATCGGGGAAATTTCTTCCTGATCCCAGGCTGGTAATGTTGGCTTAAGCCCTGGAGCACAAGAGCTGTATTACCTGATAAGGGAAATGTTTATCCTAGTTAGTGTTACTGTGGGTAATCTTATTACCCATATAAATCTCTACTGAGCTCTTTCCTCAATGAGATCTTGTGGCAGTGAGTTCCACGGGTTAGCTAGATGTTGCGTGAAGTGTCCTTTCCAGCTTTCAGTGTTTCCTTTCCTGTAATGTAATGAGTTGTTCTGTTCGTGACTGACAGGCAGTAATGGGCCGCAGAAGTTCTGCATCGATAAAGTTGGCAAAGAGACGTGGCTGCCCCGGAGTCACACCTGGTGAGTCTCATTCCTCTTGGAGCAGATGGGGGTGAATCCAAGCAGTCTATGTGGGGCTACCCCTTGCTTGCTCTCAAACCAGCTCCACCATGGGCTTTGCGGGGGATGTGGCCACAACTTCCGTGTGCTGGGGCCAGCTTATGCATCTCAAAGTGCAGCCCCAGAGCGTGGCTGAGAGAGCAGGGAGATGCCCCTGCCTCAGGAGAGCATGGGGGCGGGGGAAGGGGGGAATTGCCACTGCATTGACAGCCTTTGTTTTCTCGCCAGCTTTAACCGCCTGGATCTTCCTCCCTACAAGAGCTATGAACAGCTGAAGGAGAAGCTGCTGTATGCCATTGAGGAGACAGAAGGCTTTGGCCAGGAGTAATGGCGCTTGCTCCTTCCCCAGCACCCCTCGGCCGGCCCAGGGCAGAGCAGCGTCTGGAGCAGGCTGCACGCTGGGTGCTCTCGCTCTCAGGGCAGGCAGAGAGCAGTTTGTCTCCCTCCCTCCCTCCCTGGGAGTTTGTCTGTCACTCTTGTTCCTGGGTTAGGCTGGTGCCAATGCAGCCCAATGGCAGACGGGCTGCCCCCCACCTCGAAAGCGAGCCCAAGGTGTTAGGGGGGAGACGGACACAAGAGCCTGCCCATATGCCACTACTGAGGGGGAACGAAGTGGATGGCTGGGAGGGGGCTGGATCACTGGCCCCTTGCCACACGATGCCCTCCTGGGGGCTGGACCCTGTACAAGTTCCAGTCACTATCCAACTGCAGCCCAGTGTCTGAGCTCCAGACCTTGGGGTCTTTGGGCCTGCAGCAGGGACCCCCTGAGAGACGGCAGTGTCCCCCCAAGGCTGGGCAGTAGTGAAGACACCTCCCCCTCCCCGAGCCACCTTGCATCAAAGAAATGTGTGCAATCGTTACCTCTGCCACCTGGAAAACGGGCATTGAATGAATGGAAAGCAGAGAATTCCGACCAAACCCAGTGATTTCCTGCGGCGTCTTCCCTTTGTTAGTGCACGGAGTGTTTAGCTGTGGCCCTGCGTCCCTTTGGATTGGGGCTGCTCAGAACGGCCCGAGACAGCAGGGCCGGGTGGGCACTTCTGTCTGGGGAAGCTCCTGCCAGGGCCTAGCGCTGGACAGAGCTTTTTAGCGTTCGCTGCAGTCAAACGAGCAGGGAACTGCTTTTTAAGGGTCGTTTTTCACGTCTGTTTTTCCTGGTGTATCGATTAAAGTAACTAAAGCTTCTACTCAGGTGGTGCTGGGTAGTGACGTCCATGAGCCCAATCCTGCCCCCAACAGAGGCAATGGCAAAACTCTCACTGACCTTCAGCCGGCTCCTTCCCAGCCAGTGGGCGGGGGGCGCTCTTACCTGTCAGTTGTCTCTGCACAGGATGGATGTGGTTGGGAACTCTGCCCCGGAGTGACCAGTGGGGAGGGCCGCCCCGAGGCAGGCAGGCGGGGGCGTAGGCCTGTGCTTTGATTTGCGAGTGTGTGTGGCCCCTGTGCTCTTTATTTAACTATTTCAATGGAATGTATTGCTAGGTGGTGGTGATGCTCTTTAATAGGATTCTAGAGGCTCCGCTCGTGTTTTGTACAGACAACGCGCTGTTCTCTCGCGCTCCGGTACTGCAGCGACTGCAGCTGAGGGCTGTGAAACGGGCTCTTTCGCCGCTGAAACGAGCAGAGAGCTTTTCAAAGCAGTGACCCCTCCCGACTTGCCCTGAGCCCGGCAGCTGAGCGCCCATGTGCGACGAGCTCGTGTGGCCTTTGAACCCACAGACGGAGCAAGTGGAAACTCTTGGCCTGATTCTTCTGTCCCAGACCGCGGTGGAGATCAGAAGCCCTTGGAGTTACGCTGCTGTAAGTGAGGGCAGAATCCAGCTCTCTGCTGTTTCCTTATTCTGCCACCTCTGCCAGCCTAGGCTGCTGCCTCAGAGAGTTCACCCTTCCCAGGCTTGAGGACAGCAATGGCCCAAGTGTTGGTGTGTGCGTGGGGGGCGGGCCCCGCGTGCGTGTGAGAGCATCTGTGTACATAGCTGTATATAATGAAGTCTATGGATACAACAAATTGCAATAGCTTTGGAGCGGTAACCTTGATAGTTTTGTACTGCACCATCCTGCCTCAGTGATGCCAATTTCTTGTGCAATAAACGATCAGCAGCTGCTTGGGGGTTTGCGTGTGACTCTGTGAAGGTGGCAGATCAATACAGTCCTGTGAAGAGAGGGGTTCTGTCCAGGGCTTAAATTCTTACAGAGGATTTCCCAGAGCACCCCCCACCCCCAAAGTGCTATAAAAACTCCAGGGGGGTTGGAAATATTTGCCAGAGCTCTGCTCTGCACAGCTCCAGCTGAATTTAACCCTGGTTCTGTCCCCGTCGCTCTGAGCAGCCGGGGCCTGGGGGGGGGATGCTCCCAAGGAGCAGAGCACAGCCCCCTCGGGCATGCAGGATGCAGTGTTAAAGTCATGGAAGTAGAAAGGAAACATCTAAAAAATGCAGCACATGTTTGTGGCCCCAGCATTGGGAATTCAGGCACCAGCAGCAGCTTCTGTCCTCATCACCGTGGGACCCGAGTGCCTTCAGGGACAGCTGGACTCTTCCGGTGCTGTTCTGCGTAGCGCCTCCATTGCGCCTGCACCCACCCCAACTGGTGCTGGGCAGGGGCTTTGTGGAGAAGCGAGGGGGGGGCGAGCACCTCTAGGTGCTGCTATAAATCCTCCACCCCCTGATCCTCGGCTGGCCATGCTCCACTGTGCCCTCCCTGCCCGGAGCCAGTGGGGGCTAGCCTGCAAAGGGAGGCTTGGGTGGAACAGAACTCGGAGCTGGCCTTGCATGTGCCATTGCTCTGTTCTGGAGGGGCCGTGGTGAAGGGCAGAGGGGGGCTGTCCAGAATGAAGTGAGCATCCCCAGCAAAGATGGGCGGGTTAGGGAGGCTGCTCTGCCAGGCTTGCTCAGAGAGGGGAGGTGGTTCTGGCATCACCTGTGTGTCGGGGTGAGGAGGTGCCCATCCCAGGGGCTAGAAGGAAAGTTAGACCACACACTGCCGCAGGTGAACAGTGCCCCATTGTGACAGCCTGGGTCATCTGGGCCACGGCAGCGGAAGGGGAGAGTTGGAGCTGCCCCTCAAACGACTAGGGGCAGTTCAATGTCTCTCCCCACCTCCCCCCCCGAGTCCACTAGCTCCTGCTGCTCCCTGGGAGCAAGAGCCGGCACTGATGGGCTGTGTGCTGGAGGGGTGAGGTCCAGCCTCTGGGACACTTGATGGAGTCCAGGAATGGTTGGCAGTTCTGAGCTGGTATGTGGATGGTGGTTGCAGCAGGGTGGGGTGGCTTGTTGGGGGGGGAGGATTTTGCAGCTAAGGGAAGGGTGGGAGCGTTGGGGCAATTTCCCTGCTGAGGATCCTTGTGTTCAGCATCTGAGGGCCAGGCCCTTTCTGGGGCTAAAGGGCAGCGCGGTAAATGGATGGAATGGAGAGGAGGGGCCAGCGGCTTTGACACGTTCAGCTTGGAATACAGCCAAGAGCCAAGTTTGCTTAAGGACACAGAGTTGCAGTGTTCATGGAAGAGAAAAGCTTTCAGGTGCCCCAGCAGCAACCAGCCCAATGTCAGCCACAGACACCCCCCTCCCCCCATGCTTCCCTTGCTCCATCCTGGACTGTGCCCAGAGGGCTTGGAGCAGGATCTAGACTTTAGTTGCTACCCACATGCCCATTTTTGGTGAGTAAGTGTCCGTATGGGCCATGTGTGCAGCGAATGAGCCTGCACTGCAGCCCTCCTCCCCCGCTGCCCCGCTGGAGGTGAGGCTGATGGCTCCTGAAAGGCTGTAATTGATGGGAAGGTGGTACACGGCGTTCTTTATATGCCAGAGAGATGAGATGGTTTGTTTGCAACTCTACCACCCAGGGGCCTGCGACACAGCCACCAAATGCCCGCCCAGTGACTGCAGTCTGGGCCAGGAGACTTCCAAGGCAGCTGGAAAAATACAGACAGTATAACACAGCCGGGCCTTTGCAGAGCACGAACAGTGACAAGTCCCAATTTCAGACATTCATAGAGTCCAAGGCCAGACTGACCTTCTCTATCAACAGGCCAGAGACCTGCCCCCGAATAACACATAGAGCAAAGGTTTTAGAAAAAGAGCCCACCTTGACTTACAAATTGCCTGGGATGGACCATCCACCACGACCCTTGGTAAATTGTGCTAATGGTAATTACTCTCCTCGTTAAAAATGTACCCCTTATTTCTAGTCTAGCTTCAACTTCCAGCCATTGGATCGTGCTATACCTTTTGCCGCTAGATTGAAGAGCCCATTATTAAATATTTGTTCCCCGTGCAGTTACTTGTGGACTGTAATCAAATCACCCCTTAAGTTTCTCTTTGTTAAGCTAAATAGACTGAGCTCTTTGAGTCTGTCACTACAAGGCATGTGTTCTAATCCTTTAATCATTCTCATGGATCTTCTCTGAAACCTCTCCAACTTATCAACATCCTTCTTGAATTGTGGGCACCAGAACTGGATACAGGATTCCAGCTGTGGTTACACCAGTGCCAAATACAGAGGTAAAATATCCTCTCTACTTCTCCTTGAGATTCCTGTTTATGCATCCCAGGATCGCATGAGCCCTTTTGGCCACACTGGCAGCTCACGTTCAGTTAATTATCCACCACAACTCCCAAATCATTTTCAGAGTCACGGCTTCCCAGGCTAGAGTCTCTCATCCTGTAAGTGTGGCCTGCATTCTTTGTTCCCAGATGTTTACATTTAGCCATATTAACACATTGTTTGCTTGCGCCCAGTTTACCAAGCAAGCCAGATTGCGCTGACTCAATGACTGGTGGTTTCATCATTTACTGTGACCCCAGTTCTTGTGTTATCTGCAGACTTTATCAGGGATGATTTTCTGTTCTCTTCCAGGTCATTGTTAAGAATATTAAATAGCGCAGGGCCAAGAACCAATCCCTGCAGGACCCCACTGGAAACACACCCACTCAATGACAAGTCCCTGTTTACAGTTACATTTTGAGACCTATCAGTTAGCCAGTTTTTATGCCATTGAATGTGTGCCATGGTAATTTTATATTGTTCTAGTTTTTTAATCAAAATGTTTTGTGGTACCCAAACCCCTTGGCTTAAGTCTAAGTATATTATGTCCGTATTAGTAGCTTTAGCAATCAAATTTGTAATCTTGTCAAAAAAATATAAAGTTAGTTTGACAGGATCCATTTTCCATAAAGCCATGGCTTTGCATTAATGACATTACCATTCTTTACTTCTTTATGAATCGAGTCCTGTATCAGCTGCTCCATTATTTTGCCTGGGATCGATGTCAGGCTAACAGGCTTGTAATTACCTATGTCATCCTGGTTACCCTTTTTAAAAATTGGTACAACAGCAGTTTTCTTCCAGTCTTCTGGAACCTCCCTGGGGTCCAAGACTTATCGAAAACCAACATTGACAGTCCAGTGAGCTCATTGGCCAGTTCTTTTAAAACTCTTGGATGCAAGTTATCTGGACCTGCTGATTTTAAAATGTCTGACTTCAGTAACTTGTTTAACATCTGCCAGAGAGACTAGCGGAATGGAACAATTGTTATCAACATATGATG